GAGAAAAGATGCTGCTAAGAAAAAAGAAGAAGAAAAGAAAAAGGAATCTGATAAAACTAAGGAAGACAAAGATAAAAAGAAAGAAGAAGAAAAGAAAAAGGAAGCCGAAAAAACTAAAGAAGAAGCGAAAGCTAAGACACAATCACAATCTATTGTTCCAGAAGCATCTAAAACAAGTGTTGCTTCTTCGATTTCTCAAACATCCATTCCCCAGCCTTCAATTGCTTCAGTGTCTCAATCTGTAGTCGATTCGGCCGCGTTAGAATCAAAAAGTGCTTCAGCCTCTGTGCCTCTATCTTCTAATATAAGTGCCTCCGCGAGCGTACCGCTTGTATCATATGTTTCAGGAGCAAGTATTTTATCAAATGTTTCAACAAGTACTCCTCTTGTTTCTTTTGTCTCTAGTGCTAGTCTTTTATCAAATGTACAACAAAGTTCTGAAATCAATTCTACTGTTTCTGCTTCATTACCTGACGAAACTAGTAAAAAAGAAGAAGTAATAAGTTCTGTGGTAAATATTGATTCATCAGTTGTAAATGATGTTTTACAAAATTGTCAAGAATGTCAAAAAGTCGATAAAGTACTTTGTACTAAAAATGAGAAAGGCGAATACACCGATTACAGTGGAAAAATTACAATGAAAGAAGAAAATGGAGTCATTAAAGATTCCTCGGGTATGTTTGTTGGACAAGATTGCGGATGTAAAAAAGAAGAAATTCCTGAGAAAGGCAAGCTTACAGAAACTGGTGTATATCAAGATAAGAGTGTTGATGAAACAGCTGCTAAAAATCAGGCTGAAACACTTAAAAAAGTGTCTGAACAAGCTGGTGCAAGTGACGGAGCAATGCAAACAGAAAAAGGCGAAACATCAGTAGCAGCTAATGGAGCAACAGGAGCTGAAGGTACAAGTCAAGAAAGTGCGCAGAATGATACAAATGCAGGAGAAGAATCAAAGAGCACAGGTGAGGCGGCAGCATCTAAAAGTTCGGTTGAACAAACAAGTACCGAGGGTATAAGTGAAGCAACGGAATCAAAAAGCATAAGTGAAGGAAGCGACAATAAAATAACTGAAGGTAACGGCTCAAAAACAACAGAGGGGGCCATAAATAAGCCAGCAGCAGATAACATGACGAATCCATTAGAGAAAGGAAAAGTTGAATCCCAAACAAACGGTGAATCTGAAAATCTATTAGAAACTGATAACAAGCCTACAGAACATAAAATGTTAGAAAAACCAAATGTACAAGAAAAAGATATGGCACAACAACCTGTACAAGATAAAAAAGATAATATTAAATTACCGAGCGATGCTTCTGCACCTTCAAGTCCAACAGTTTCTATTCCTGAATCTTGCGACGATGCTCCCGTTTCCGCGCTAAGAATTAAAATCAAAAATGCGTGCCGTTCTAAAATTCAAAAGCATCCTTCTGGTATAATTACTAAGACTGTAACTGCTAAAGCCAATACGGTGACAGAAACAGTTACTTTGACGATTTATTCTACGATAACCGAGACATTACAACTACCTTCGGATACTGTAACACTTCCTCCTGATATTCGTACTACTACTATACAACTTCCTGGAGATGTTATAGTTAAAACACAAGATCCAGAGACAGTAACGGTTACTGAATATAAAACTGTAACAGTAAATGAAATTAAAAAGCAAGAAAAGGTAGACAAAGAAATAACTGTTTCTACAACTGTTGTATTAGAGGATGATGATATAGGAGATGAAGTAGAATGTGAACAGGAATGTTCTTGTGACGAAGAAGTGTGTGAGAATCCTTGTGAAAGAATCAAATGTGTAATTGTAGAAGCATAGCCAGGATAAATTATTAAACAGTATTTTATTATTTTATTTAAAATTTTAAATATTTTTCCCTTAAATGACAAATCTAAACAATCTCCATAAGGAGGCTGACGAAATAGAAGCAGAACTTATTAAATCTGAGAATACCTTAGAAAATATAGGTACACTTGCAATTAAAATACAAAAGTTTATTAAAATGGTAGGATATTTAGATGATGCAAACCTAAAATTGAAAGCAAAAAATTTTAATGATAGGATTGTACGGTTAAGTAACTTAAGACTTGCAAAAAGAAAACAAGAAGATGAAGAAATGATTAAATGTAAATTAACACCTGAAGAACCATTTACTGAATGCACTAGTGAAACTTATTATACAGAAAAAACACAAAGAGTAAACCACATTTTAACTGATGCTATGAATATTTTGGATACCATACAGAAACAGGGAAGATATATTGAAAGAGCAAATTCGAGATTAAAGGATGGATTGATAAAACTGGGATTTAGTAGAAATTTGGTGGAAGAAATTGATAGAAGATATTTAGCTGATAATAGAATATTTGTAACAGGATTTGTTTGTGTTATATTACTTTTTTTGATATTAAGATTTTGGTTTAGATAAATTAATTTTTTAATAAATGTCTTCATAAACTATAAACACTGTAAATGATTAAGACTTTTACAATATTTAAACATTCTAATTGGTCATATATTTTATTAATTTAAAGGATTTTTGTTAATGTAGTTTTATGTAGTCCATTTCAAAAACAATTCAAATAATATATTTATAAAGAAACAAGACAGGTTTAAAAGTAAAACAGCAATTTCTTTCAAAAAATTGATAAATTTTTTCACAAGTTTTTGCTTGCATAAATTAAACAATCAGATACATATGCAAAAAAAATAACCAATTAATAATACTATTAAATTAATGTAATTTATTTTTTACCTAAACTTCCTTTAGATTTTATGACACCACTAAACTTGTATCCCATTTCATCTAAATTTTTTTCTTTGGGAGCTATAAAATCTCCTTCTATATAAATTTCTTTTCCTTCTTTATTGATGTTAACCTTTCCAGGCATATTTTTCAGAACAAAAAGAAGATCATCCATAGAAGCAGAATTTTTATCATTTTTTACTGTTAACTTGCCTTTTTTAGTAGCTATTGATTTTACTCCCTCATCATTATTTTCAAAAACAACAGATTCAAGAGCTTTTTTGGCTTCTGTCGACTCTTTTTCTTTCTTTTTTTCTCCTTCTTCTTTATTCTTTCCATCTTTTTCTTTCTTTTTTTCTCCTTCTTCTTTATTCTTTCCATCTTTTTCTTTCTTTTTTTCTTCTTCTTTCTTTTTTTCTTCACTTACTTTCTTTTTTTCTTCTTCTTTCTTTTTTTCTTCTTCTTTCTTTTTTTCTTCTTCTTTCTTTTTTTCTTCTTCTTTATTCTTTTTTTCTTCTTCTTTATTCTTTTTTTCTTCTTCTTTATTCTTTTTTTCTTCTTCTTTCTTTTTTTCTTCATTTACTTTCTTTTTTTCTTCATTTACTTTCTTTTTTTCTTCTTCTTTATTCTTTACATTTTTAGCACCACCAGATGGGGTTTCTTTTTTTTGTGATTTTTCTCCATTTAATCTTTTTTGATCAGGAGGTTCTAATTCTTTGTCATTAGAACCACCAAAAATAGAAGCCCAAATATTTTCAGGATCTGCCTTATTGGCAGGTTTAATATCTTCAGTTTCATACTTTACATTTTTTAATGATTTATCATCTTTTTTTTTATCCTTAGATTCTTTCTCAAGTTTCTCTTCTTTTTCTTTAGTTTTCTTTTCTAAATCTTTAATTTCCTTTTTCTTATCTTCAGAAACTTTATCCTTTTTTTCTTTTTCTTCTTTTTTACCTGTTTCTACTTTTTCCTTAGATTTCTCTTCCTTATTCTCTGCATTCTTTTTTATCTCTTTTATTTTTTTCTCTAATTCATTTTTGTTATCATCTAACTTCTTCTCGGCTTCTTTATCAATTTCTTTTTTCTTCTTCTCCCCTTCTTTTTCTTTCTCATTTTTACTTTTGATTTTTTCTGTTTCTTTTTTTATATCTTCTTTTTTGCTTTCAGAGTCTTTTTTTATGGTTTCTTCTTTTTTCTTAAAATCTTTAACAACTTTCTGCAACTCTTTTTCTGCCTCATTTTTTATATCGTCGTTCTTTGCCTTCTCTTTTTTTTCATCAGCTTCTTTCTTTATTTCTTTTTCTTTTTTTTCTGCACTCTTTTTAACATCATCTTTGCTTTTGTCCTTTTTTTCTTTAGTTTCGTCTTTTTTCGTTTTTACTTCATCTTTTTTGTCGATTTTTAATATTGAAGGAAGGTCTTTATCAGTAATTGCTTTCGAATCTTCTTGTGTTACAGCCTTAGGAGAAATAGATTCAAGAATTGTAAAAGTTTTTACGTTTACTTTTACTTTTTTGGGCTCATTATCTACTATGACGGTAACCCAAGGACCTTCTTGTGTCTTTATATTATTTTTAATTTTTTCCAATCGATCTTTTACTATTGATTTATCTGTGTCGCTGTTTTCTTTGGGTGAACTAGTTAAAGGAGATCCCTTACTTTCTGCAGGTGCAGATTGCTTGGCACCACCTTTTTGTTGCGCACCACCTTTTTGTTGCGCACCACCTTTTTGTTGTGCATCACCTTTTTGTTGTGCACCACCTTTTTGTTGCGCACCACCTTTTTGTTGTGCATCCCCTTTTTGCTGTGTACCACCTTTTTGTTGTGCACCAGGCTGTTGTTGTTCAACACCTTTTTGTTGCTCACTAGATTTTTGTTGTGAACCTCCTTTTTGTTGCTCACTAGATTTTTGTTGTGAACCTCCTTCCTTCGTTTCTTCTTTACCAATATTTTCGCCTTCATGGCCTCCAATAGCAGCAGGTAATTTTTTTAATTCTTCTTCATTTTTCATAAGCTCTTGATCTGCTAAAACTATAATATGTGGTTTCCCCTCACCGTCTTCTGATTTAACAAGAACAGCTTCTCTACCTTTGACTTGCATAGGTTGTATTAAAACATTTTCAGTTTTAATGTCACTTTCCTCATTTTTCTGACCTCCTTCGCTTTTTTCTTTTGATTCTTCTTTACTTTCCTTATTTTCTGATTTTTCAACCTGTGAACCTTCTTCTGATGCAAGTTTAACAGAATTTGGTTTTTTAGAAGATTCTGTAGTATTGATGCTTTCCTTTGATATTTTTTCATCGGTGATGTTTTTCAATAGAGCATCTTTAATGTCAAGCTTCTCGTTTAAAAAATTTGCAAATTCCTGGTTTACAAATAAATTACAACCTACTGCAAAAAAGTATAATGTTAACATTTTGTTTGTTTATTGATTATTTATTTTTATATTTTCACATTGTTTCACTTCAAATTTGTTTCAAATGTTTATTTAATGATTTTGTATGTACCTTTTTTTCTTTATTTAAAAACTTAGAAATAAATGCTATTTTGTTACGTTTCAAAAATAATTTAAAGTAAAAAATTAATAATTTTACAACAAGTTTATCTTTTGTAAATAATTAAATTTCTAATATTATGTTTTAAACTTGTGTCTAATAAAAATTTAACTTTTTTCAATTTTATCGTACTTGTACAATAAATTTAATTTAATTTTGTATAAATAAATAGATTTTTTTATGCAGCATAAATTAAATAAAAATTATTACAAGGAATTTAATATTTTGTTTTTAAAAAATAGGATATTTTTTTATTGTTTGATATTTATTTTGTAATGTTTTGTAATTTAAACAACAATGATAATTATTTTCTGTATTTTATTAGATCTACACCTATGCCTTGTTAATGAGTCTAAACATTGTAATTGCATGGCTTATAGTAGAGAATGTGAAGATTTCTGTATATTTAATAAACCAGCATATATAAATTTAATTAAAAAAAAGACAGATAAATATAACAAGTATTTTACCTTTCAAAAAAAATTATATGATAGATGTACACTGTATGACTGGTATACTTCAATTACTAATCCGTTGTATATTAAAAATATAGACAGACCTTTATACGATTATTTGAAACTTAACCCAAATATTTTTGAAAATTGTAAGCAGAATTTTCTGCAAGATAATAAGATTATATTAAATGATAAATTATTAAGTAAAAGGCAGCAGATCATTAATAAACCTTTGCAATTACGAGAAATATCTAGTATTACATTATTAGAACCCAAAGCAAATTTTAGGACAATTACTAAAACAAATTCGGTAACCAAAACTGTTTTTAAAAAAAATTTAGTACCCTTAGAGTTACCTACGATTTATGACAGGGATGTTGAATATAAAACAGATCTGACTTCTACTATCTTTAGTACCACTACAGTAATAAAAAGAGAGATTCAAACTAAGACAATAACTAAAAATAGAATAGAGACTAGTACGATTTTTAAAAATAATGTAGAAACCAAAACACTTGTTAAAAATAATATAAAAACTACTACGCTTGTTAAAAATATAATAAGAACCAAAACGCATAATATATTTATTTATGACGATAGTCCTCCTCCTACAGTAACAATATTTAAAACGAGAGATCTACAAGTAAGTGAAGTAAAGACAACTGATGTGAAAGTAAGTGAAGTAAAGACAACTGATGTGAAAGTTGATGAAGTAAAGACAACTGATATGAAGGCTGATGAAGTAAAGACAACTGATGTGAAGGCTGATGAAGTTAAAACAAACGAAGCAAAGACAAGTGAAATAAAAACAAACGAAAAAAATCCAAGTGAAATAAAGACAAGCGAAGTCAAAACGAACGAAACAAAGTCAAGTGAAGTAAAGACAAGTGAAATTATTTTTAACATTAAAACAGAAAATTTATCAATAAATAACAATCCCCCATTTGTATCACCTCAAGATATTTACATAGTTGATATATTACCACCACAATACAATGCATCTTTAGATAAATATACTGATACATTTAGCCTTAGCATGAATGATGATTTACAAAGTACAATACTTGTTGATGTAAATTCTAAACAAAATGGCACTATAGAAGCATCTATTAGTAGATCTACTGTATTATTGTCCAGTTACCAGCCATCTACAGCTACTAAAATTATTTTAACTCAACCTGAAACTTTAAGTCAAACAGTCAAGATAGAAGAATATGAAAAACAGTCAAATAATTTACCGCATGATGATATGAAAAATAATATTGTGTATGTGCCAGATAAAATACTTACCATTGATTTACCAGATTTAAATTATGCAAAAGAAAATAGTTTAAAATCTACAATTATTAGCTTAGAAGGACAACTTTCAGGGCCTGTACAAAAAAATAATATAGAAGATATACAAAATGTAAATAAATCATCACTATCAAATTTATTGACTATTGATACACCATTTGATGATACAAATCAAACTTCTACAAGTTCCAAACTAATTAGCCAAAACACTAGTACAGTAAATATATTTAAAACTACATCATTAACAAGTAATAATAAATTTACAGTACAAAATAATGACAGTGTTTTAAATGTAGATAATCATAATACTAAAGTAGTTACTAAGACTATTTCTAGTACTGTTACAATTAAAATTCCTAGAAAAACCAAATTAAATAATGGATTTAAAAGACACACAACTACTACAACAGTTGTGAATGTCAGTACAATTTATAAACCAAAGAAAAGAAGTAATGGATTTTTTAAAAATTTAATAAACAAGATGACAGGTAAAAATAAGAATAATTTAGAAAATAACACCAATTTAAATTTATTAAATTCTAAAAGTAATAATAATATTATGTCATTAAAAGATATACAGACAAATATTAATAAAAAATATGCTACAGATATAAAATCTATAACATATTCAAATATAAATAATATAGTAACAGTTACTAAGAACATCAGTGATAACTTACCAGTATCAGTACACATAAAAGATCACAAAAATAGTGTAAAAGTAAATAGCATTAATAATTCTAAATACAATACATCTACAAAAGTAATAAATACTTTTTTAAATAATAAGAAGGATATTAATAATAGAAATAATAATTATTTACAAAATTCTAACAAGGATCTTTTAAGTACAAATTCTTTTAGAAATTCATCCACAGTCACTTCTTCAGATGTCCCCGATAAACTATTATCTACTACTAAAATTAAAACAGTTCCTAGTCAAAATTGTACCCTTATTTTAGATATAGAAATAGATACGCCTTCTAAAGCAGTAAAAAGGAATAAAACAGTTACAGAATTTAAAACACAAGTAGTAACAGATACTATTACATCTACTACTATAATTTATTCAATAGATACAATTACATCTACTCTTACTTTACAATACCAAGATACAATATCACCCCTTCCACAATATAGAACTTTTGTAACATCTATTGTTTACATAAATTCTTAATATTTTTTACCCCATGAACGACCAAGAAAAAATATACAGTTATGCATGTTTGAATTGTGTAACAGAAAAGCAAATAAAACAAGGGGATGCCATTAAATGTTTAGATTGTGGAAATAGGATTCTAAGAAAGTTAAGAAGTAAGAGTGTTATACAGCTTGAAGCAAGATAATTTATATGTAATAAATATTTTTTATGACTTTTTATGTGTTTATTATATTTTTTTGTCTTTAATTTTTTTAATGTACTGCTGTTTACATTTTAATATAAATTACATGGTAATAAGTATTGATTGTTATATTTTTAAATAACAAGAATTAAAAGAGTCATATATTTTACTAATACCCGCCAACCACTTATTAATTTAATTAACGATAAATTTATTGAATATTGATTGCAATACATAAATATTAATATATCTACTTATAACACTTTATTATTAAAATATAAAAGATTAGTAAGTAATAATACTTTTATTTTTTAAATATTTTTTTATATTAATTCACCTATCAATAAATTTTATAAAATATTTAATAACAAGAAAAATGCAATATAAAAATAATTTTTTTGCATAAATTTAAAAGATGTCAAATGAGTATATTTTGAAAAATTTTAATTTCCAAGAATCACTAGAAATTTAGATTAATAATTAAGTAAAGTATTATTTAATAACTCAAATAATTTAGAGTTCTGTGTATGTAAATAAAATAAAGTTTTTTATATTCTAATTAAAATAACCAAAAAAATTTAAATATATCCTTATGCTTGAAAATTTATGTAATTATGTTGGATGTCTACATAGTGAAATGGAATGTTCTCATATAATTAATTTAGCAATGGAAGGTAAATTAATTAGATTGAAACGCCGTCTTACTGAAAAAGAAAAAAGGTCTATTAGACCAGGACAGGCTTTTATTTATTTAGAAGAAGAAAGTGGCATAATAAGATGGACAGATTCTAAATCATGGACACCTTCAAGAGCACTAGGACCATTTATGATGTATATTGAAAAAAGAAACGATCCGCCATTAATAAAAAAAATATATACAGCAAAATTTCAAAATAAAATTGTACATCTTGTAATTTACAATGTGTACAATCATGAAGAAAGGGGCATATGCTGTGAGATTTATTCACAAATAAGAAAAATTAATATACCAGAATCATATAGTAGAATGGCAAGAACTTATTTAAATGATAAAAAGAAAAGAAATAATAAAACGTGTGCAAGTAAAGATAATTATACTAATAAAGATAATTATACAAATAAAGATTATTATACAAATAAAGATAATTATACAAATATTAATTTTATTAGTAATTTAAATTATTCATCTGATGAAAGTCTATTAACCATAAAAGAAAGATTTTTACAATATTCTCAAGAACAATATAAAAATACTCAATATAAAGATTTATATAAAAACACCTTCTTTTTAAATAAGCCTATTGATCAATACAGTAAAGTAAAACAAGACTGTGATGTTTCAGGAAATTTAAATTATACTGACAAAATTCCTTGTATACCAATTGACCCTTTATTTTCTGAAGATGAAAAGTTAGAAGATTGTAAAAATAAGAAATAAAAAAATTTTATTTAAAATTTTTACAAATAATATTGTTGATATATCAGGCCAATATTAGGTTAAATTGACAAATAAAATTTTTTTTTTCTCCTAAAAAACAAAAAACAATTTAATTTATCCAATTTAACTAAAATAAACTATTAAATTAGCTTTTTAAATTCAAACATGAAACATTACGACAATGAACATACATCATCTGAAGAAGAAAGTAGTGAAGAAAATGTTAACTATAAGGCACCACCGCGTAGTAAAGAACCTCTTGACTACAGTAAGAATGTTTTCTATACAAAGCAATATGATGATCAACTAATAGCTAATACTAAAAAAGATCAAATTGAAAAAAATAGAATGCTAAACATAGCAAATAGAGCACAGATGTATCAAAATGAAAGTTTACCTGATTACGATTATGAACATTTTAATGAAGACCAAAGGTATGAGCAACATGTGGTAGGTGAGTTTATAAATGGTGTCTACACTGACAGCCGTTACGTAAAAAATGAAAAATATACACAATTTAGAAGCGAACCACCTGTGCAAAACATTAATAATTGGGGATATTATGGTGGACAGAATTACATTCCAGAAGATATTATTAATCAACCAATAAATAAGTTTGAAACGTTTCCTAATACTAAAAGACAAAGAAATATTCCTCCTCTAGGATTAAATATTACCAATAATCAATTTCCACCATACAATGAAAATTACCTGCCTAGAGATATACAGAATACTTTTCCTTCTGCTGAACCACCCTTCAGCCCCACGCAGCAAACACGCACTAAAAGGTCCAAAATTAACTTAGAATATATTTCTGGAAAAAATAAAAGGAATGTAACATTTAGTAAGCGTAAAAAAGGAATAATGAAAAAGGCATTTGAGTTGTCGACATTAACTGGTTCTGATGTTTTATTATTGGTTGCTAGTGAAAGTGGTCATGTTTATACTTATGCTACGCCTAGATTAAAACCTCTGCTGCCTAAAAATAGAAAGTTTATAGAGGAGTGCTTGAGTAAAGCGGATAATTCTATAAGATTTGATACAGACAGTGAACAATAAAAATTAATTGATTACCAGAAAAGCGCTTATTACTTGATCTTCAATATGTAATGTTAAATAAAAGTATATAAAATTTTTATTGTAAAACAAAAAGTTTAATTTAACATAAAAAAATTGCGTGTAACATTTTGTGTAAATTAAAGTTAAAAAATTGAATATTTATCAGTTTTGTCTTTTAAATTGAAAAATTAGGACATTAAATTATTTTTGTTGAGATCCCAAGGTCACTATTATTGTTATATTAATTATAATATTTTTTTAATATTTATCCCATGCAGGAGGAAGAAAATTAAATAAAAGTATTGGTGATTATTTTTTACGTAAACTACTTTAAATAGAAACACAAAAAATTTTTAAAAAACAGAAGTATATTTTCGATAACTACTTAAGTACATTAAAAAACTTTTTCAATTTTTTTAACACAAATCTATGCAGTTTATTTTACATATCATTTTATATATTATTTTTTATAAATTTTTTTAATTAATATTATCAATACACCTTCTAGGTTTTATTTCTCGCACTCTTTTTATAAGAAGTATACAAAATATAACAAAAAGAAAAAGTGCAAAAATGCTTATAATTACTATTGTAAGTGACAATGAATCAGCCAGAAGGGCATTCCAATAGTATTGTATTGTACTTAAAAACCCACTAAAAGTATTTGTAGTTTCTTCTTCTATAACTGGATTAAAAGGCAAAAAGCTTCTATAATTTACAGTATCATTTCTATTGCATTTATGAAAAACATCAGAAAGTTGATCGCAAGGCTTAAAAGCAAAAATTGGATATTCACTTTCCGTAGATTTATAAGAATACATCATTCTACGTAAAATTATTTCCTCTAATTCTTTAGAATTAAAATCATTTACTCCAATAACATAATTCTCGCATGCATTGCACGAATAATAAATATTTTTTGTGATTGTAAGCATATTTCTAATAAAAAGTTTATCATTTTCGTTATAAAACTTTGGTATTTTATGAACAGTTGCAGTATCCACTTCAAATTCAACAGCCGCTTTTAAAAGATACATATGTTTATTGAATCTTTTTTTATGATTAAACACTTTTAGAGTTTCTGAATCAATAAAATATTTCTTAAAACTACTTGAATCTACTATTGAGTCCCACACAGTGTTAAAAAAATTATACATTTTTACAAGCCCAAGGTATTTACGTTTCTGAAGTATATCAAATAGATTACACATGTTTATATGAAAAGTACTATTTCCTCCTTCTACAGTTATATTTAAGTCAGCATCTTGATATATTGTATCATAACCATTCATCGATAAAAATGACTGTATGAAAAATAACCATAAAATCATGGGTGATATATTTTTAGTGATATTAAAATAATAAGATTTATTTGATCATTTTTTAACATGAAAAAATTATTTTTATTGATTAAAATATTTATGCAAATACAAATTTAAAAATATTTATTTTTTATGCAATGCATAAATAACAGTAAATTTATAAAGAGCACAGAAAGTTTAATAATCCAATAGATGATAGGATAAGTTGAACAACTTATAGTAAAGAAATACTTAATATAATTTATAAAGATGCCAATTAAATAAAAGATAACCTATTTAACAAAATTGGATGAGAAGTGATTCATAAAGGCATCAATAAAATAAAAGATAGATTTTCTTTATAAAGTTTAAAGAAAGTATTGAATAATTTATTGAGACGTTAATTTAATAAAAAAGAGCCTTTGCAACACAATTTAAAGATTTTAAATCTTTAATTTTTGATAATTTTTTACTCCATGATTTCACAGGAAGAAAGAAAACAGATTGTTCTACATTTATTTAAACTTATAAAAGAAAGTAAAATATTTTCTAATTGTACAGATAAAGACATAAAAGATGTGGCACTTAAATTTGAAGCAAAAGCTTTTAATTCTTCTAAAAGTAAAGAAGAATACATGAAATTAATGAAATTAAAATTTGAAAAAATTATCAATGAAAGTAAAAAAACACAAGAACAAAATTTAATTAGCAAAGAAATGTGTACTACAAGGAGTAAAATGGGTGATAAAGAATTAAATAAGAGATTGGTTACAGGTGATTTTACTAGAAATGTTAATGAAAATGTGTATTTGTCTAAGGAAATTAAATCATTTTCTAACAATGAGATTAAAAATATTGGACATACATTTGACAAGAAAGTAAATTATAGTAAAGATTTAGATTTTAAAATGCCTTTTGATGGAGTTTATAAGAATACAGCCAATACAAATACATTTAATAATTTTTCAGATAGAAGACAAATAGAGACAGGCACTCGAGATTATAAACAACAATTTGTAAATTTTAATAACAGTAATAAAATGCCTTATGTACAATACAATTACACTAAGAATTATGCTAATGATAGAGATTCATTATCTTATAATCAGGAGTACAAGAAATCTATTAATAATTTTGATAATATGCCTAGAGGATCAATTAATAGCCGAGTGGGTGACATAAATGAAAGAAGTCCTCGTAACAACTTAAATTTTTATGATTATACAGTAAATAATTTTATACCAAAAAGAAAGAGTCATAGTGAGAATTTGTTTATTTATGATAATAAAAATCAAAATGGAAAGTTTAACACAGACAGAAATTATTTTAATTCTTTACAAAAGAATCAAGATTTAAAATCTTTGTCTAAAATATCCACTTTTCCTTACAACACGCAAAATGCCATGTATCCAACAAACCTAAATAATAATGTCATGTATCCCACAAACTTAGATAATAACGTCATGTATCCAACAAACCTAAATAATAATGTCATGTATACTTCCACACGTCCTGATAATTATTATCCACCATATACAAATGTTTATAGTACACCACCTAACAATTTTACATTTAATTCTCCTGGAAGATATGAAGATTCCATTCATAAAGGCACATCTAAAAGTGTAAAAAGATCTAAATACACAAATCAGATGTACGAGAATGTACATACAAAATCAAATATAAATCAACATTACAACACATCTAATTCTTCATTAAATACAAATAACAATTTTAATATTCAGTATAGAAATCCTAATAGTAGATTTCATATGATAGATCCTTCTAGAATGACGAATAGTAAGGATTCTACAGCACAAATTTATAACGAACAATACAATGTAAATTGTAATTCTTCAATTTATTACAAAAATAATAATATTTCTAATTTATCATCTAAATGTGTAAATGATGATATAAATCAACAGGATTATAATACTACTATTTCTAATCAATGTGAAGAATCTCTTGAAGGTAATTCTACAAGATTAACTAATAATAAACAATTAAATGATAAAGAAGACGACCTTTCTTTAGATATTGATTTATCGGGAGATGAACAGGATATTATCAAAAAGTTAAAGTTATGTAATTTATCCTTTGAAAGAAAATATTTAAGTTTAGAAGATATTAAAATTTTAAAAGAGTCTTTATGCACTGCAGAGGTAGTACAATCAAAATGTTATGATATTTGTAAAGAGAATAATATTTCTGCTAAATTTAAAAAATATACTAAAATATTAAGTTTACAAAGAAAGCTTTTACAAGTTAATATTTATATTATTGATTGGCGTGAGGCAGATGAAATGCTTGATTTTATAAAGCAATATTATATTGATGTTAAAGATCAAGTAGAAAAAGAAAGTTTAAATCAATGGGTTAATTTTAATGAGTGTTTAAATAAAACATACAGTGTATTTGTAAGTAAAAAGAAGCAAGATCCAGAATGGTACTTAGATCTACAAGAAGAGTGATGTTATTAATTATATATAATGTTTATTATTTATATATAATGTTTTTATTTGTATATAATGTTTATTATTTGTATATAATGTTTATTATAAATCTATAATGCACACCCTTTATAGTAATATACATTAATTAGATCTATTTATTTATATTCCTATAAGTTTCTCATATTCATCTTTTGTAATATTTAAATCTTTATATTCCATTCTCTCTATAAATTCTAGTGCTACACTTAATACATTTATATAATATTCTATCTCTGACTGATTCTGTATTGTCTTATGTTCACATGCTATGAATATTCTTCTTCTATATTTTATAACATAAGTTACAATAGATTTAAAATTCCTTATATTACTTTTAAGAATCGTGTACACTAAAATATTAAGAAATGTATCATGTTCTTTATCTCTAGTTAATTTAATAAATAAGAGATACTTTTCTAAAATATCTGTGGGTATTTTAATATCACTTATAGATGATATAATAGAAATATATCTATTTATATTATCTTTACTTTCTATAACATTTAAGTGTATTGGCTCTATCCTGTCATTATACAAATCTATCTTTGTATTCAAAAGATAATCTGTTTGCTGTCTTTTAAAATATTCTGCATAAAATGTAGAAAATATTTCTTGTTCTTTTATGTGTAGAGATTTATCACATGTAAGTTTAGACTTAAGAAAAATATAATAATCTTGTATAACAGAAGGATTAGATAATATTTTAGATACAATGAGAGATTTATGCATATGAAACAGTAATGTAAATAATTTGTAATAATTTATAAAACATAGGTTTGGAATATTGTAAAATAATATGTATCTTTGACATTTAGAATATTGTATAGTAATATGTATCTTTGATACTTAGAATATTGTAAAATAATATAATTTGTTAAATTTTGTAAAATAATAAGCATCTTTTAGCCCTTTTATGTATAAAATTATAATTTATGCAGAAATATCTAAAGAATCTTTATATTGTCTTTTAATACAATTCAGTCCTATAAAAAGCATAAAATATAAAAAATATTTTGTAATAGAATATTTTAATAAAAAAGATATGAAATATTCATTAGAAATGATCGGTGAGATTAAACTATTTGATAAATATATTAAATATAAAATATTAGATGATAAATGTGTGTATATTGTACCTGATACTACTTATTTAGAAGTATTTGATAAATTTAAATGTAAAAAAGTAGATCAGAAAATAATATTTGAGAGTGAAGAGAAAATGAAAGAAGTAATAAAAATTATAGAAGAAGAATATGTTAATTATAAGAAAATTAAATATAAAATATTTATTTAATTATAATGTGTAGTAATTGTAAAATAAATTGTATTTATATTTTACTAATTTATGAGTGTTGCAAGATGGTGTAATTATTATTATTTATTTATAAAATATATTATCATTTTTCTAATTGTTATATTTTTAGAAGTTATTCTTTTCTTTAAGTCTTCTCTTGTTAAAGATCGCAACGTTGTAATATTAGTTTTGGTTACTATAGGCTGATCTAAAACTAAGTTTTAGAAAATAATATTTAAGAAGAAATTTAATCAATAAATATGTTATCTTTAAATGTCAACAATAATTAATAGTAAAGTGTAAATTATCATTTTTATGCTAAAATGTAAAATTTTTAGTTCTATGCTAAAATGTGAGTTTTTAGTTCTATGCTAAAATGTAAATCATCATTTTATGCTAAAATGTAAATATTATTTTTATTTACTTACCTTTACTTTTTAAATAAATTTTGTGCATATTTATAACTTAAATTAAAATGCGTAATATTTGGTACATAGACACAAATCTACATCTTTAACATTAAAACAATACATTTAAAAGCAGAATATTTACATAATGAATATTTTTTTACCCCAAAAATGCAGAATAAAAAATTTAGTAGATCTGCCAAAGAAGAAGAATGGGTTCCAATTACTAAACTGGGAAGGTTGGTTAAGGACCGTAAAATACAATCACTTGATACAATATTCACTCATTCTTTACAGATCAGGGAAGCAGGAATTGTTGATTTCTTACTAGGTTCAAATCTTAGAGATGAAGTACTTGCTATTAAATCAGTGCAAAAGCAGACAAGAGCAGGCCAAAAAACAAGCATTAAGGCAGTTGTGGCTGTGGGAGATGGTAAAGGATACGTAGGCATTGGTACTTATAGTAGTAAAGATGCAGCTACTGCTATTAAAACTGCTGCTTCTAGGGCTAAATGTAATATTCGCCCTGTAAGATTAGGATTATGGGAGGGTGATGTAGGACAAGCACACACTGTGTCAACTAAAGCATCAGGAAAATGTGGTGCATCAGTGGTAAAAATTATACCTGCACCTAAAGGATCAGGAATTATAGCATCGGGTGTGCCAAAAACCATTTTAGAATTAGCAGGTGTTAAAGATGCATACACTCGGTGTTTTGGCGCTACTTATACAACAGAAAATTTTGCAAAGGCTACAATTGAAGCATTAGAAAAGGCTAGTAGTTTATTTATGCCATCTCAGTGGACAGAACCTATAAAACAACTTAATCCACTCATGGAATTTAGTTACTATCTTAATAAACAGGAAAAGATGCAGTTTAATCAATAAATTAATTTTTATTAAAATATAAATAATTTATTACAATCTCTTTCTGTACTCTAAAAATTCTTCTAAAGAATTATATTCTTTCTCTTTGTACTTAATTTTAGTATCTACACTTAAATATTCCTTAAATATACCATTATTATTAAAAATGAAACATAGACGACCAGGATATTCTTCACTAAAATAAAACCCATACCTAATAAAATCACAATTCATAGAAATTTTTGACATAGCTTCGCTTGCATTATCGTAAAAATATTTATGTTTTTTTATATTAGATACATTTCTAAGAATATTTTTAACTCTTTTGTTAACTGTTTCATCTAAATTATCATATTCTTCAAGTCTAATATGTATTATTATATTTTTATATAATTTCAATACAATAATAATCTTGCCATCCTTAGAACTTTGTCTTAATATAAAAATTTCATCACTATTTATCAATTTCTTCTCTGCTTCCTTACTATTTAGCCTACATAAAAGTGGATGTTTTATAATTTTATGTATTGGCTTGTTAGTGTGTACTATTTCCGCTGTAAAACTTAAAAATGGTTCATTAATTTCTGTAATTTTTACTCTAACAAGTTGATTTAAATAATATTTCTCTGTAGTTCTTACGTAGCAGGTTACATTATTTAATATATTTACTAATACATAAAATTCATCCACAAAAAAAACTTTTCCTTCTATTTCTTGATTAATAAGATCTTCTACAATATTATTTTTAATATTAATTAATTCTCTAAAAATGTAAGAATCAGTGAACCCAGTAAAAACGGGTCTATCATATAGTTTTTTTTCAAGTGTAAAAAAAGTCATAAAATTCTGATAAATTACTTCATCTTTTAAGACCTTGTAAATATCCTCTTCACTAGTATATGACTCATTTTCAAATATTCTAGTACAATTTTCTAAACCTAAAAATCTTAAAATGTCAAGTTTGTTTTCATATTGCAATAAAAAATCTAAGTTCATTTTAGTTACTGAAATAACTAAACCAATAGCTATTTTTATTGTCAAAACCACATCATTATTAAATATTTCTTCTTTGTAAATTAAATTATTATATGATTCTCCTGATGTAATATACAAATTTTTATAGAAATTTATAAATTCAACTTCAGGAAATAAACCTAGTCTTCCAACATGTATTAATTTCTCATAGACAGAATGTTTTGGATAAAATTTAGATTCCATATAAAAAACACGAAATTTTATAAGGAGTTGTACAACATTCCTAACAATATTATTATTTCCCGAAACCAAAATATATTGTGGATTAATCTCTTCAACACGACTTATTAGTTTATAACCAGAACAACTAAACTTTTCTATTAAGTTACCATAACCATCCAAAATAACTCCTTTTATTATAAAATTTTCTTTTGTTAAACTTATTATTTTATCTTTTTTATTTATGCATAATGATCCATTGTATATTCTATCAAAAAAAATATTAAAAATATCTAAATGTATTTTATCAGAAGATTTAGTAGTAAAACTTAACATGTTTTTATAAATATCTAGAAATTTATAAAAATCTATATCTTCTGTTTTATATAAAAATATATAATAAATATTATATCCTTGTAGATACAATTTACAAATAGTTTCAATATCTTTGTAATCAGTTTTCTTTTTCATGTGATCAAGAAACTGTTCTTCACTGATTTCTTCTTGTTTAATTTTTTCTTCTTCTTCTTGTTTATGCGATTCAAAAATATAAAAATATTCTTCTCCTGTGCCGAATAACTCTTGAAATAAATTATTCTGTTGTGTGTCCTCAGGAACATATTCGAGAGAAGATGTGCTTGAATCTTCATCAAATAAATTTTTAAGATTGTCTTTTTTTGTTGTTGATCGTGGAACTCTACGTCTTTTTACAATATCATTATCAGTAGAATCAGACATTAAGGGTAAAATGTAAAGGAAAATAAAAATAACTTAAATATAAAAAATGCTCTTATAAATTTATTTTGTACATTTACTTAAACCTCTTATATACATAGTTTTTATATTACAAATAAAGATTTACAGAACATTTAATGCATATTGAAAAAAGCTTGAAAGTTTTTTTTTGTTTATGTTTAATGACTATTGTAAATATTTTTATAAATACATTTACCTTAAACCTAAAGCTTTTTTATTTTTATACTGTAAAACAATTTTGTAATATAAGTTATCATAAAATTGAAGTGTAAAACATCATAAAATGCATATAAAAAAAATAACAAGCTACGCATAAAAATTCATTTAAATACAATTTAACAAAAACTTAAGATTACAATAAAAGTTTTATATCAAAAAGTATCTTAAATAAGTAATTCAGTAATTTAAAAACTTCAAAATTATAGAAATAATGACAATTCTAGCTTTTGAATGTGACTATAGAAATTAAAATTTATTGCTGTACAAAATAAACCTTTCTTTAATGAAAATTACTTCAATACAAAAATGCAAAGCCATTGTAATATTAATTAGTACGTTTGTCTTTTTAATGCCTTACATAACAATACTAATTTTACTATAGCTTTTACAAATATACAAAATATATTTCGCCAATATTGATCTAATTTATTTTTAGCGTTAAATGATGGTCGAATGGCCGAGTGGTCTAAGGCGGTGTCTTCAGGCGGCATTCTTTCGGGGCGCGGGTTCGAATCCCGCTTCGACCATTTTATGCGAAAAACTTATTACTTTTATAACACTAATTTGTCGATTAAGATATCTTGACATTTTTTGCCTATTAAAGCTATATATAATGTCTCTATTGCGATCTAGCTTTTTTTAATATTACAATCAAACATTTTTATGTATTGTCATAATACATATTTATGCATATGTGCACGTATATAAGCTGTATTCAAAACATTTTATTTATAAATCATTTGTTTGTATATCCTTCCCTTCCATAGTAAAAAATCCTTCTTTATCGTGCTTTAAACTTTTACGCATGTCAATTGCATCCTCTTCATCATTATAATACCCGTATATGCGTCTATATTCAATAAATCCCCTATTTTTATAGAAAGCTATGCCTGTTTTATTGGAGATTCTAACAAATAGGTCTACAAACTTACAATTATATAAATTACCATTATCCTCAAGTATATTCATTAATATACTCCCTATTTTGTATCTTCTATAGTTAGGAGCTACACTAATAGCACTAAGATGATTGTTAAAAATAGATACAGACTTATCCTGACATTCCAATTTACTAAGAACATAACCTATAGGCATATCAGACATATCTGATATACAATAACAATCTTCTGTGTATGTTTTGAGATAATAAAGATAATAATCTAGTGTAAATGATTCAGAAAACCTATCTAAATTTATAAAATCAAGCTTAAATAACGTGTCTGGCATTAATAAATTAATTCTGTACATAAGGGTAAAAAATAATATTTTTAATTAATACAAGTGTTTGACCAGAAAGAGGAAAAAAATAATAAAGTTATATTTAAAAAGCTTTAAATTACAAATAAGAATTTTGAATCTCTCAAGTAAAGAATTCTGAATCTGCAGAGTAAAGAATTCTGAATTTGCAAAACTAAATTACAAATAAGAATTGTGAATCTGTCAAGTAAAGAATTCTAAATCTGTCAAGTAAAGAATTCTAAATCTGCCAAGTAAAGAATTCTAAATCTGTCAAGTAAAGAATTTTAAACCTGCCAAAAATTATTTATAGGGTTAAAAATAGAATAATTCATGTTACATATTTAAAAGAAAAAATAGTAAGAACTTGAAAATCATATTATAATTTAATTGTAATCAATTTGTTATAAACAAGTTTAAAAATTCTGTGCTTAAATTACAATACATTTGTAATAACATATGTAAATGCAGCTATCTATTAATTTCAATGCTTTTATTACTATTTTATAAAAATCCTAAATTATTTAATAATCATTTTTTCTATTTATTCTTCTAAAAAAGGTATTTGATTAAAAATGTTAATAATATGTTGTTTTATAGTAACCAATCTTAATTTTAAAATCTAAAAGCTGTATTTATTCATCTTTAGTATAATTATTAAATCAACTAATTATTTTTCGCATGCTAGTAGAACAAAAAACTAATTTTCTATCTATTTTTATCTAATGTTAGATTGTTTATCGAAAACAGTACACAATTATTTTTTTAAGTTTTTCTTTTTACATTAACCACAAAATTAATGCGGGGATAATTATTAAAATAATCTGCATCTTTGCCTGTAGTAGTCTCTTTGATCTCAATAATGTTGTTTATATCAGTTTTTAATGTTATTTTATTGTTTTCTTCAAAATAAGTTTTAATATTTTCTCCAATAAAGATTATACCTAAAATAGCAAAATTAAAATCTTGCACAATAAGAAATTTAGAACTATCGTTAGAATAAATTTTATTGTTTGAAATGTAAAAACTGGATATATTTCTAGATATAGGATCTTTTCTATATAAAGTATTATTTTTATAAATTGCCAATCCAGATTTTGTATTTATAAATATCATATTTTCATGTACACATACCACGAGGGGTACATTATCATAATTTATTTCAGGATTAATCAATTTATTGTTCAATCCATAATTTAGCTTAATAAACGGTTTATTAATATTGTTAATCTTGTATATTTTTACATCTTCAGTTGTTCCCACATAAATAAAATATTTATCAACATTGAAATATACAACATTTTTGCCCAAATTTATGCAAAATTCTCCTTTACAAAGTTTATATTCAGAATTAATTAAATTTAACTGAACTTCTTTATCTAAAAAGTTATTTAGTGTATTCTCTACACATAATTGGTCTGTATCATTATTAACATTCATTTGTATTTTATCATATTTTGTATAATTAATTTTATAAATTTTAATCATTGAATTTGTAACAATAGACAATTTATCTTTATTTTTTAAAATATCCTTAATTCTAGTATTATAGTATTTAAAGGTAGTCTGAGTATCAAATTCATAAATAAAGTAATTATTATTGGCACTATAGTATAAAAAACTATAATTTACAAATAATAAATTTTCAAATATTTTATAATCTAAAAAATACACCTTTTTATCGTCAATAACATATCTGTAAATTTTAATATCCGAAATTAAAATGATGTATTTACTAGTCTGAAATCCATATTGTAGATTTCTAAGTTGGATAAAAAATGTGTCAGCTGAATAACAATTATCTGTTATGGGATCAATGTTACTAGTACTATCATATGTAAAATTGTATTTAATATTTCTTAAATTGACTAATCCAGGTCGTTTACAAATTTTATATAAATTAATTTTAGGTTCCTTTACAATCTGATTGTTATATATAAATAAATCCAATTCTTTATCGTAGTAATCTAGGGATAACAGTAAGTTAAAAATTTCAAACTTGTAATTACTTGCTTTTATTAACATTTCTTCATTTGTATAATATTGTTTCAAATGATTATCATAGCATGATGTTTTATCGTTATGTTTAAAAACCGTAAAATTTTTAAAATCAAAAAATCTTTCACATTCTTCTAAAATAAGCATTTTATCTTCTTGACATAAAACGATACTTTTTTGACCAATTATTAATTTATTAATTCCAAGTTTATCTTTATTCTTATTGTAGCACTCAATAGATAAATTATGTGCCTTTCTTAATAAAATTTTATTAAAATATTCATAGCAATAAATATAATTGTTTTCTAAAATAAAAATAAGATTATCTTTAACAAAAACATCTTCATTTTTCTTTACATATTCCCACTTTAGTTTTAAAATATTATTTTTATATTCAAAAAATGCCAATTTGTTTGTTGAAACAAACAAAATTAAATCTTTGTATTTATGCATTTTTTTATATTTATGCTCTAAATAAATTTTTATATTATTTTTTAAATCAATAAAATGAGTTAAAGTTAAAATATAAATATTGCCATCACAAATTGTCGAAAGTATCTTATCTCTAAAATCAATAATGTCAAGTAAACTTAAATTTTTATCAAATCTTTCTACAGTTGAAGATGTAATTACAAAAATTTCGTCCTCTAATTTATAGAAATATTTATGTTTTTGAAAATTAGTTACTCTTTTTAACAGAAACATTTTAATTCAAAGAAATCGGGGTTAAAAAATAAACTAAATATTATTTTAATATTTTCCAAAATTAAAATGTTTGTTAAAAAAATAAAATAAAATTTTAAGGTTAAAAAAAATTGATACTACAAATAATTGTATTAACTAATCTCTACACTATTTTTTTATATATATAAGACAGATCTTTTCGTATCATATATGCCTTCACATATTGTACATTCAATATCTCTACATACACAAACCTTTAAATCATCAGAATGTTTAAAATTATATAAGTTTTTAAAAATGACTAAATCTATAGCATCCATATGACAATCTTCTTTATAAATTTTGTATAATGGTTTATTTTTTAGTAAAGCAATATAAAAAAGAATTTTTTTTATATTAATTACATTTTTTCGTTTAGTTTCATCATCAATATCATCTAAATGAAAAAACATGCTTTCTTCTAAATTAAATTTTTCAGTATGCTCTCCTCTAAAATATCCTGTACTATCAATATTATTTTTAAATGTAAGTTTCATCCACGGATCTTTATTTTCTTTAAATATTGCTATTTTGTCTATATACACATCTTTTAATTTGTCATTTTTAGAAAGTAGGTCTAAGTTATTAAAAATTAAGCATAACGCTTTTTCATCTAGAATGATATCATCAAAATCATTTTTTGTTAGTGTAAAATGGTTAGATGATAAAGAATCATTTTTTATATTGAATCTTTTAAAATCTCTAACAATTGGATTGCTTCTAAAAACTTTATTAAAGCGTAATATAAGTTTTATGTTTTTCTGCTTAAGCGGTTTATCACTATGAATTAAACAAAGGAATATGAAATATATCATTATTTATTTTATTCTAAGATTTATTTATTAATGTTTCATAGATTAAAACTAAATATTGGTAAAAATTAAGTATTTATCAAATACGTAGAATAGAAACATAATTACTTCCTTTCTCTTTTTGCAATCAACTTTAAAAAGTATATCTAGTAAAAATTATTTTAGTTTTTGATGATAGGTGGCACAACTGTAAAATTTCTGATAAAATAAATACTAAAGACAGTTTTTTTAGAAAGATTTAAAATATTCTACTGTCAGATTAAGCATGGTTGATTTGAGATAAAAATTTTATATAATTTCCATAATAAATAAACGAATGTTTTCGGTTAACAATTTTTTGGACACAACAAGTTTAATTTTTATACTTAAATAAAACCTGCTAATTTTAGTTCTTACAACTTATTTTGTTATTTAAAAAATCTCTTTTTTATCCTTTTTTACGTAAAACACAAAATGTTAAATTGAGCTTTTAAGTTCTGGTACATCTTTTGTTTTCATAAAAGCTAATATCTATAGTTTTTGTCAAAAGAGTTGCTGTTAGATAACATTTGTCTTTTAAAAAAATATATATTTACTAATCTCAGATATCTCATCATACATTAGCATCGAGATATTTGACATGCTATTACGCTTCTAATATCTATAAATATAATATTTTTAAACTTATAAATACATATTTAGTTAATTAAATACACCAATAATAGATATTTAACATGTACTTATACTTCTAACAACATCCTTAATTTATATGGTTTTTGTGCCCTTTTAATGAGTTTAAAAAATATTAAATCTAGTAAAACACCACAAAAAATAAAGAAAAAAAATAATCATAAAGTTATAAAAAATGAAAAAGATACAAATAATAGTACCTTGTATACAATTTCAATGTTTTTACTAGATGAGATTAGTGTACGTTTCTTAGTTAATATAGATTTATATGATCTACAAAAAGTTGAAAGATTATTTTTTATTCTAGAAGAAGCACACTGGTTTTACATTGATAACTATAACGAGCCTTCTACATCTTTTTTTGACTTTTGTTTACAAATATTAAATCATAACAAAATTAATATTGATATCAATCTGGGTCTACAGATCTTTAAAAGTTACAAACAGTCTATTAAAGTATATGGATGTATTATTTTTAGCCCTAAATTAGATTCAATTCTTGTCGTGCAAGAAAATGGAAAAAACGGATCATTTGGTTTTCCAAAAGGGAAGAAAAGTAAAGATGAAGATGGGATAGAGTGCGCAATTCGGGAAGTAAAAGAAGAAATTGGATATGATGTTAGTAACAAAATTGTAAAAGGATTGTCTGTAAAGTTATTTGAAAAAATGAATTTTTATTTTGTGTTTAATGTTAAAAAAAGTAATAAGTTTGTCTGTAATTTAAAAAATGAAATCGCTAATATTATATGGTTACCGATAAGTAAGCTCGAACATAATACATTGGGAAAACGATTTTCGATTATAACGAAAAGCTTTGTAGTTTGGAAAAAAATTTATATAGCTATTGTAGATAATAAATTTAAATTTGATAAATGTAAATTTAATCAAATAATAGAAGAAAAATTAAAACTTAATGTTATTTAATGTAGAGGATTAAAGTTTTTCGATTAAATGAAATAAGTTTTGTAAAATCTTTTTTAAAAATTTATCTTGTTAAATTACGATTTAAATATAATACAATAAATTACATAAATTAATATAAAAATTCTGTGATTCATTTTAAAAATAAAATACACATCTAATCGGGTTAAATTATGTTAAGTCAAGTCGTTTGTAATAAATACTTTAGACTTCTACAGATAGTATAATTTTTTCTTATAAATTATTATTTTGTATTAATTTTTATAACAAAAATAACGAGCAAAGATAAAAAAGTGATTATTTCTATAAAAATATTTTTTATTACAAATCTGCACTAAAAAGATCTTTTTTTCCTGTTAAAAATAAACGAAGATACATACTACAAAATATTGCTTGTATTTTTGACAAATTTAATGTCTTACATATATGATTACTAGAAATCATGATTGGTCTATCAACATCAAAAAACTTATTAACTAATGGGTGATGTACATCAATATTTTTGCTGGTCATTGCTTCATAAAGTAAATTTAAAATAATATTACTAAAATTTTTGCATGATCTCCTTCTTTCATCATCGCAAAACATTAACAAATGAAAACAAAAAAACTGATAAAAAGATAAATTGACATTACGCCTAATCATATTGTATTCAGTAACAGCTTTACAAAGCACATTTTTTAACTTGGGCTTTTCAAAACTTTTTCGATTATTTTCTCTTATATGTTTGAGAGCTAGTATCCCCGAATTAAATTTGTTTGAAACGACAAGATTTTTGAAGAACATATAAATACCTGAACATATTATTTTTAAATGATTTTTGCAAATCACAACATCTTTAATCTTGTAAAGCGTAATTTGTTTAAATGTCGTTAAAAAAAGTGTAATCTTATCAAAATTTTCAAAATCTTTGATTAAAAAGGACCATGAAGAATTGTTATTTTTTCCTGAAAAAGAAAACTTAGGTAAATATGGCATGAAAATGCATTTTTTAGCTCCTACCTCTGTTTTAGATCTATGAAAATCTTTAATTATTTTATTTAAATATTCTACATTAATGTTTTCTTCTCTTGTTTCATTCGTATTATTTAAGCCACAAAATAATACTGATAAGTAAATTACATAAGAAATAATAATCATATGGGTAAGAAAAATAATTCATTTTCCATCTATTTTAAAAAATGTTTAAAGATTGTATTTTTATTATTTAGATTTAAAATTATGTGATTTTTTTATTATTTTTTAAAATGATAAATTTTCTTAATTTAAATAATTATCAAAATGCCAATTTTTTGAAGGTAATAAAAAACTGTTAAAATGTTAGAAATTATTAATAATTTAAACGTTTAATTAAATCCATTAAATTGCAGAATGTTATTTATCAACTATTTTTAAATAAACTTTTTTGATAAATTTTCCATTTTTTGGTAAGTTATTAATTATTTTGAAATAAGCTTTTTTGTTAAATCTTCCTTTTTTTGATAAATTAAACCTAAACATGTGACTTTTAAATTATACTATTTTATTAAAATATAAGTTATAAATATTTGTATCTTCATCCTATACAAATATCGTAAATTAATTTATACTTATCTTTCCAGTGTTGTTTTGGTATTGTAAAATAATACAAATAAAAATAAAATAATTTTACGTTTACAAATATTTCTGTCTGATGATAATAACTTGTGTAATCTAGTTGTAATAATTAAATAAACAAACAAATAATTTAAATGAAATTTCAAATAATTAGTTTGTTGCCTAAGAAAATTAGTACAATTTCAAGAATTTTTTTTCTCTAACTTAAAAATAAAGTTTAATTTGATTGTTTTATTTTAAATTAAATTGTTTTTTTGTAAATTTAAAAATTGGGCAGAGTTGATATTAAAAACATACTTTTTACAGTAACTTTTAATTAATTATATTTCTCTTACATTTTTATGATACAAAGTTTATTAATTTTACCAAAATTTAAAAACCTTTAATTGTAATATTTCGCTTATTTAAAACTTTTTTTTTAAATTATTTTTTTCAAAATTTTTAATTAAATGTATAAAAGGAAAAAAAATTTATACCCATATGTTTTTGAATTTTTTATTGCCTATAGCATGCGCTATGCATAATCATTCATTGTTTATCGGTAAAAAGGGAAATAACTATTACACTGCTTATATTGGTTTTCGGGATGTGCCAAAAGATAATGAGTGCTGTGTAATTTCTTTAACTGAACTTGATAATACGTATGATGTCGATGATGTTGTAATATTAAAAAACAATAAAATTCTTCCAAGTCCTCATTTACAATGGTATTTTTCACTGTTAAGAAAAGAGGAATTAAAAGATCTCGAAAAAGAATTATCTGAATTTATTCCGGTAACACAAGAGGAAGAACTTAAAGAAAATGCTTTTATTGATAGCAAAGTATTTTTAAAAGTTGACTTTAGCATTAATTCTGGTAAAGGATATTTTATAAGTGGTTTGTTCTCAAAGGATAAGCGACATGTTATGGACATTTTTACAACGGAAAAATATTTTTTTACGGACGGATCACAAATGTGCAATTCGATGTTTCAATACGAAGCCAGGATGCAGGAGAAGATTGTGAAAATACCTACGTTCCATGAACAGCATTTGATTGTATTTGATGAGATTAATACTATCAGGAATAATTGTCCATTTACAAAGATTTTTCGAAATTCTATTGTAGATTTTGATGATCCATATAACATTTATGATTCTGATGTGTCTGTCTATGGGGACACTGAATCTTGCGAAGGAGAGATTTTATATATTCAGAAAAAGGATTTATCTTTGCAAGAAAATAATATTGAAATTCCATTAGCAGAAAGTAGCGTTGAAGAAAAGCCATCGTTTTCTAAGCAATGCAGCAAAGAAGAAATTATTCCATCAAGTAATGATATTGAACTATCCTTTGAAGAAAACGATCTTTACAAACTTTGTAAAAGTTATATAAAAGTTTACGAGACTGTTGATCGGCTCAAAAATGTTGTCGAAATAGCTGACGTAGACGAAAATGCTGTCGAAATAGCTGACGTAGACAGAAATGCTGTCGAAATAGCTGACGTAGACAGAAATGCTGTCGAAATAGCTGACGTAGACAAAAATGCTGTCGAAATAACTAGTGTAGACGAAATAGCTGACGTAAACAAAAACGTTGCCGAAATAGAAGTTGATCAAGTAGAATTAATTAGGCCTGATGCAGAGGATGAACTTATATTTAACAAATTGAAAAGTTTGGGGTGTGAATTAAATGAATATTTTGCATCAAAAGATGAAGTTAAAAAGGATTTCAGAAGTATTGAGCTCGGGGGCGTAAGTATTTTAAAAAGTCATGAATTAAGCCCAAAAAAAGAAGAACAGGATATTCATAATTCGATTCTTGACTTAAACGAACCGGTTAAAGGACCAAAAGAGGGCGAGGAAAGCGCTCAATCTTCTTCTAAAGTATTTGAAACGTCGAACAAGAGAGAAAGAAAAAAGGAAGATATTGAGGGTTTAGGACAGAAACGTACTTCTGACTCTGAAAGTACTCATGAAAGTGAGCATTTAATCCAGGGTACAACATCGGTGGTAAATGAGACCGGAGAAGAAGCAAGCTTAAATTCTAAAGAAGCTGATGAATTAAGGCGACAGTTACAAGATTTGCTACAAAAAGGTTGTAAAGATAGTAATGCTGGTGTTTCTGAAGAGAGTGATATAACTGATGTTGAAGAAAAAGAAACTAGTAAAGCTATTGCTGAAGATAAAAGTTTAACAACTGAAGGTTCTGAAGCCGAGAATGAGATTGTATCGATAAGTCAAGAAACTGGAGAAGTACTCATTTTTCAAAATAATGTGTTGGATACATCTGAAACGAATTCAATTCTTAGGGTTGATCCATTTTTTGATGAAGAACGTTCTCGAGTATGCGAACTTTGCAAAAAAAAATTTGAAAATTGATTTTTTATAAAATAAATTTTTAATTTTTATTTTAATAAAAATAAACTTTGCATAAAGTTCAATGCAAAGTTTGTGATTTCAAAAAGTTAAATTGTTTAAAAAATACTATAGGTACTTAAGCTGTTTAGTAAATCTAATTATTTATGTCTGTGTCTTCTAAATTGTTTGATAGAATAGAATGTGCATAGTTGTAAAAAAAATTCTAAAAATGTTTAATAATTTAAAACAATGGCATCACGTAAATGTAGGTCGCTGAAATGAAGTAAAACAAAAATACTATATTTCGATGGTAATTTTACACAAAGATAACATTTTGTGTGTGTTTTAGTTTTAGCCAAAATTTATTATAAACTCTTTATAAAGACAATCGTGTTTAAATGTTTCCAAAATCTTTAAAGCATTTATTTGCTTCAATTATTTTTTTAAAATATTAAATTAATTATTTTATCAGTATATTGCCATTTAAAATAGCAGTAAGTTTAAATATTGCTTTAAAGATTAATTAGGCATTTTAACAAAAAAAATCTTAGCATTTAAAAAAGCATACTACTTTTTAAAGTTAGTTTTTAGAAAACAGCACAAAAATAATATTTTAAAACTAGTGAATTTTCGAGAAAATATATTATAAATTAAGTACATTTAAACTCCGGATGTGGATGAAAAAATAATCTTATTTTATGACATTTTTTCTTAATGAAAATTAGAGTACAAACTAGTTATGAACTATATTGTGCAAGTTTTTAAACAAAACTTTACATTTAAGTGAGTACAACTGTAAACTTAGCTTAGCATTAAAAAATATGCAACTTGTTTTTTTAAGGTTATGCCCTAAACATGTAAACAACAAAAAAATAAATTACAAAAAACATTAATAATGTAATGTTTTGAAATTTAATACTAAAAAAATATGGTTTTTAATTAAATTTTTAAAAACTCGTTTTATTAATATGTAAAATATTTTAAATACATGTTTACACTTAAAATAAATTTTAAATGAAGAATAAATGAATTTTTTTTATTTAACTATATTTTTTTGTAACCTAAAACCTTTTTTTTTGTTGTTAAAATCATAGAATTACTTAATATCACAAAAACAAATTAATTAAATTACAAAAGAAAGAAAGTTTATAAACAAATGGGGTAAACTTAATAAAAAGGATTTGTTTTTTATAAGGTAAAAAGAATATTTTTGTTTATTACCCATAAAAAATATTATGTTTTCATAACATACTTTATTAAACGCTTTGTTTTGTTTATGTGCGTGTTTAAATTAATAAATATCAAGCTTTTATTTTAGTACAGTTTATAAAATTATGAAATTTGTTTATTCATACCAACAAATTAAATTTATTTAATTTAAAAGAAATATAAATATTTTTTAATTGCATAAAGCCCAGTTAAAAGTTTTTAATGAAGTTTAAAGAAAGTAAAGAGTTCGTTAAAAAGTTATATGATATATTAGAAGATAAAAAAAACGAAAAATACATAAGGTGGAATGAATCGGGTTTATCTTTTTTTATTATTGATCCTAAAGAATTTGCTGAAAACATTCTACAAAATTTTTTTAGACATAAAAATATTAATTCGTTTATTAGACAACTTAATAAGTACGACTTTCACAAAATAAAATCCAAACCAGAACTTATTTTAAGCTTTGGTAATCAGGTTATTGAATTCGAACATATGTATTTTCAAAGGGGAAAAAGAAACCAACTTTATAAAATAAAGCGTAAAAGTTCATCTTTAGAACAGATTTCTGTTGTTTCTGATTTGTTACCTAGTGTAAAGTCAAATCAAATATTCCACGAACATATAATAGTATCTATTAAAGATTTATCAAATAAATTTGATATATTGATTGATAATGTAAATGATATTAAAAAAATGTTAAATAACATATTGAACAATACAAATTATAATTTTTCAGTATTGATTTATGATGAAGACACTAGTATGGCAATGCAGATTTATAATTTATTAAAAGACAAAAGACTTAATGTGACTGTCATGGAATCTAAAAGCAATTTATACAGTGCTTTAAAAAACATAGAATTTAATTTTATGATTTTTGGGGCCAATTTGTTATTTTTTAAAGAAGTTATGAGATACTTAAGGGGATTTAATCACATGACACCTGTAATTTATATTGGATTTGAAAAATACGATTTTGATCTGTACTCAATTGGTGTAACAGATTTTATAAAAAAACCCTTTACTTTTTCAGATTTTTTCAATGTGATTAACAAGTATATACCTAAAAAAGAAAATAATTAGAAGAAAATTTATAAAATTTATTTTCTTGCCCCGCAATTTGGGCAATTCTGAGATTTAAATGATGTTACTAGATCGCATTGATTACATCTATTTCCAGTTATAACACCTACTGGTTTTTTACATCTAATACAAGCAATAAATGGTTCAGTATTGTTACATTTGCAACAACAAGGGATAATACAAATACAAAATCTATCATATGCAACTCTATACTCACCTTCAGATATTTCACCACACTGAGGACATAAGATCTTTTTTGGTGCTTCGGGAAATCCACCTGGTCTTTCGATTCTCTTAGTTTCACTATTAGCTCCACATAAAATACAACAAACCATATAAAAAGCTTTAAGATTTTTTTAAATCTTCTCCTTTAAATACTGATAACAGATCATAATACATTTCGATTTTTTCATAAATTTGTTGGTGTTGTAGCAACAAATTATAAAATTCATCTTAATTACAAAGTGGAAAAGCCAATCCCTTGAAATGTTTTATTTGAGAAAAACAAAGTTATCTGACATTAACAACATTATAGATTTAACGAGTAAGAATCTTGAGGAAAATGCAGTTCCTTTGGTTTATTTGAATGATTTATACGACATCGATTTTAATTTTAATTATGTATGTTTCAATAACAACAAACTAATAGGTATTGTTTCATGTACAATCTCAAATCACATTTTAAAAATAAATTGTTTATGTATAGATTTTCCGTTTCAAGGGAAAGGTTTTGGTACTATACTTCTAGATAGAATAAAAAGCGACTGTAATTCAACATTAAATAGTAGAAAAAACACTAAATACTTTATTAATAAAATAAGATTACATGTAAGGTCTGATAATGTAAAAGCTCAAGAATTTTATAAAAAACATGGTTTTCAAATTATTGATAACCAATCAAATTATTACAACAAAAATGTATCAGGATTGCTGATGGAATTTAATTTGTAGATAAAAAAGGGGAATTTTATAATCTCCTTTTTAAATATTAAAATAAAGTCTTTTACTTTTTATGATCAATTATTTTTTTGTTTTTATACAATTTACAAAAAGTATGTTTGTACTTGAGTTAGATAAAAATGCCATTTCTTCTGAATTTATATTTCGACACGAGGAAAATATAAAACTATTAAATAATCTTCAAAAAGAATTAATTAGTAAAAAAAATAAATATGAAGTTACAAATGAATTGTTAAATAACATTGAAAAGCATACTAATACAAACACGGACATCTTATTTGTAAATTCGGAACCCGAGTCAAATGAGGTACTCCAGTTAAAAGAACTATTAAATAGTTTAGTTTTAAATCTTTCAAAGTTATGTAAGAATTTACAAACTCAAAAAGATGAAGATTTACTAAATTTAGCTAAAAATGCACAAGATGGAATATCAAAAGAAATATCCGCATTAGAAGTTTTATCAATACCACAAGATTTGCTTTAAATAAAAAATTATTGTTTTTATTTAAAAATTATGTAAATAATAGATTAAAAGGTTTTTATTAAAAAATAAACAAAATTTATGTTTATAAATTAAACATAATTTATATTTTTAATAACAAGTAAATAGATATGTAAATAAATATGCAACAATATAGAATAAAAGATGACGGGTTGTGGGTTTTTAATTAAATATTATTTATTGTATTTTAAATATAATAAATTATTTACATAAATAGATCTATAAGTTTTAATCGGCGGTTAACACATTGTAAACTTTAAAGTTACTTGTGTTAAAAGAATAAAATATACAAATTTATTTCATAAGGTATAAGCATCTTTTGTACAGCACATATTCATTATATACACATACAAATTAAATATTTGATATTTTAATAACAGGATATAAGCATCTTTTGTACAACACATATTCATTATATACACATACGAATTAAATATTTGATATTTTTAATACCCTTAAATGTTAAATATTTTTTTTGATAAAAAAGTTTATAAAGTCGAAGAAAATATTTCAGCGCATGATTTTTTAGTGGAAAATACAAATTTAGAAAATATCATGATTTGTAAAATTGATGGTGTTTTATCAGATCTCAGTACTTGTTTAACAGCAGATTGCAAATTGTCTTTTCATTCTTTTGATGAGTGTAAGGATATTTTCTGGCACAGTTCAGCACATATCCTTGGTAATGCCTTAGTTAATTTATATCCTTCTTGTAAGCTTATAAATGGACCACCAATAGAAGAAGGATTTTTTTATGATATAGACATTGACACTCCCTTGTCTCAAGAAGATTATAAAAATATTGAAAGTGAATTTAAAAAGATTGTTAAAAAGAACTATAAATATGAAAAGGTATATTATTCTAAGGCAGATTTACAGAAGATGTATGTGAATAATAAATATAAATTACATTTTGTGAATACAAAAGTAGAACATGGTTCTACTGTTTATAAAAATGGAGATTTTTATGATTTGTGTCAAGGCCCACACATTCCTTCTACTGGATTAGTAAAATCAGTAAAAATATTAAAGAATTCTTCTGTACACCACAACGATAAGCAGGTACAAAGAATTTATGCTATTAGTTTTCCTAATAAAGACTTGATGAGTAAATATTTAAAAATGAGGGATGAAGCTATAAAAAAAGATCATAGAAAATTAGGTAGAGAATTAGACCTTTTCTTTTTTCATGAATATTCTCCTGGTTCCTGTTTTTTCCTTCCCAATGGTACTTTTTTATACAACAAGTTGTGTGATTTAATGAGATCTGAATATTTAAAAAGAGGATTCCAAGAAGTGATAACACCAAATATTTTTAGTATTGAGTTATGGAAAGAATCGGGACATTATGAAAATTATAAGGATAATATTTTTATGTTAGAAAATGAAAATATGGCTATGAAACCGATGAATTGTCCAGGTCACTGTTTAATGTTTAAGAATGTTGATCATTCATTTAGAGATTTACCTATTAGATATGCAGATTTTGGTGTTTTACATAGAAATGAGTTAAGTGGTGCACTTACAGGACTGACACGTGTTAGAAGATTTCAACAGGATGATGCACATATTTTCTGTACTAAGGAACAAGTCAAAGAAGAGATTTCAAATTGTCTTGATTTTTTAAAACATATTTATGGAATTTTTAATTTTCAATTTGGCCTTTTTTTAAGTACTAGACCCGATAAATTTATTGGGGAGATTGAAGAATGGGATTTGGCAGAAAAAGCCCTTGAATTGGCCATTAGAGAATCTAATCTTAATTATACGCTTAATGAAGGAGATGGCGCATTTTATGGTCCTAAAATTGATATTATTTTGCAAGATGCACTTGGTAGAAGAATACAGTGTGGCACTATTCAGTTAGATTTCCAGTTACCTCAAAGATTTAAACTTAAATATCGAAATAATGATGGAAATCAGAATACACCAGTTATCATTCATAGAGCTATTTTGGGGTCAGTAGAGAGATTTATTGCTATTTTGATTGAAAGTTATGGTAAGAAATTACCATTTTGGCTTAATCCCAGACAAATAGGTATAGTGTCATTAGCAGATGAAAAATATACAGAGAAAGTTAAAGATTATTTTAAAAGTTTTAGATGTGAAGTGTTAAGAGATAATAACACTATTAATAAAAATCTTAAGATTTTAATTAATAAAGCATATTATTTTGTATGTGTCATAGGAAATAAAGAAGCAGAAAAAAATACCATTAATGTTAGAATAAATAATAATCAGATAGAATACAGTTTAGATGATTTTAAAAGTATTTTAAGTAAACTTGAAGAGGATAAAAAGGAATATGAAGATTTATCTAAAGAATTTAGTAATTTAAAGATTTAATGAATTTATGTTTTTTATTCTTTGTTTTAATTGATTTATTAAAAAGTTTAATATCTTTAATTAATGTTTACCATTTAAAATTGTTTATGCTGCTTTTATCAACATCATTCTATTTATTATAAATTTTAACATTTTTTAATTAGTGCGTGCATTTTTATTGCTATAGACCATTTTTAGTAACATCATTCTTTTATTATAAACTAGCTAACGCTATCCCGTTTGAAACGTGATCAAAATAATGTGTGTTCTTACATTTGTTGTGTATGATGCAACTTTATGCCTGTACTTATTATTTTATATTACAAAACGACTTTTTTTTATTATAAATTAAAATTTGCTATATACACCTTATATAAGATTAATTTAACTAAATAAAAGCAAGAGAAAATGCACGAAAACACTGTGCTGTGCTTAGAAAAATAAACCCTACACTTATGCTACTTGTATTTGAAAAATACAAGGAATTTTAAAAAAAGAGGGGCTAAAAAATAAAAAAATGTTCAAATTCAAATTTTTTATATATATTGATGACTAGCTAACGCTATCCCGTTTGAAACGGGATTATAAATACGATATATTCTTATTTTTCATTGTGTTACATATCTTTAGGCTTGTTCGCATTGTTTATTATTGAACATTGTACACTTTTAATTATAAGATGACAATAACGCGTATTTTACAATTTAAATAATTAAATAAAACTAAAGGAAAAAAAAATTTAAAAAATCAAGCTCTATATAATATAATCAACTATGAAAGATTGTTATTTATTTAAAAAAACGTTTTCCAAAATTTGAAAAAAGAAGGGTTAGAAAATAAATGTTTAAATTCAAACTTTTTATATATATTGACTAGCTAACGCTATCCCGTTTGAAACGGGATCATAAATTTAATGTATGTTTTCTATTTTCAATGGATATGATGTGTCTTTATGTATGTACTTATTTTATTATTTTTACATACAAATTGGTCCTTTTTATTATAAATAAAAATTTGCTATTAACACCTTGTATAGATTATCTTAACTAAATAAAAGCAAGAGAGAATGCACTCAACGCCGTTCTCTGCTTAGAGAAACAAACCTAACTGTTATGCTACTCGTTCTTAATAAAAAATACAAAGAATTTTACAAAGCTTTAAAAAAGAAGGGCTAAAAAATAAATAAATAAATATTCAGATTCAAACTTTTTATATATATTGATGATGATGATAGGTAATATTCTTATTTTTCATTGTGTGTGTAACATATCTTTAGGCTTGTGCGCATTGTTTAAAGTACAAATTGTCTTACATTGTAAAGTAAAATTGGCATTGTCACCATTTTGCAATTACAAAAAAATTGGCAAATCCCAAGAAAATATACAAAACCTCGTAATATCTTTTCAGTAACAATTATATACAATTCTTTTAGTTGTATTTTTATGCTTTTAAATTAAAAATAAAACAGAATTTTTTTATGCTTTTAAATTAAAAATAAAACAGAATTTCACAATTTTAAAAAAAGAAGGGTTAGAAAATAAATAAATATCCAGATTCAAACTTTTTATATGTATAGACCAGCTTACGCCATCCCGTTTGAAACAGGAGCATAAATTTAATGTATGTTCTTTCTTTTTATGGATTTAATACGCCTTCATGAGTATACTAATAATTTTAATGACAAACTGGCTTTTTTTATTATAAATTAAAATTTGCTATAAGCATATTGTATAAGATTAGTATAACTAAAAAAAATAAGGGGAAATGAACAAAAACACTGCTCTGTGCTTCTAGGAAAAAGCCCTTAAATGAACTCGTTTTTTAAAAATAATAAGAATTTTACAAATTTTCAAAAAAGAAGGGTTAAAAAATAAAAAAATGCTCAGATTCAAACTTTTTATATATACAGATGATGACTAGCTTATGCTATCCCGTTTAAAACGGGATCACAAATGTAATGTAGTTATTTCTTTTTAATGAATAAAATGTGCCTTTGTGTATGTACATATATTTTTTTTTAAATTGCAAGTTGGCCCTTTTTATTATAAATTAAAATCTGCTATAGACACCCGTATACATTTAAAAAAATTAAATAATATTTACCAAAAATGCACGAAAGCATTGTGCTATGCTTAAAAAATATCTTTTGAAATGATGCCACTCGTTCTCAATAAAAAATACAAAGAATTTTACAAATTCAAAAAAAGAAGGTTTAAAAAAAAAAATAAATATTCAGATTCAAACTTTTTATATATATTGACTAGCTAACGCTATCCCGTTAAAACGGGATTTCAAACTTATATTGGTTTATGTATTTACTTTTCAAAAGTACAGTATGTCATTGTAATAACTCTTTTTGGTATAAATTTGAAATTTTACTATAAATTAACTTTTAAGATGTCTATATTCTTAAAAGTTTGATTATGAGTACGACAAGAAGGATACAAATAAATAAAACTTTACCACAATGTTACCACTTACAAAATTATAGTTTACAAACTTTAAAAAGAAGGGTTAAAAAATAAATAAAACTTTACCACAATGTTACCGCTTACAAAATTATAGTTTACAAACTTTAAAAAGAAGGGTTAAAAAATAAATATTTTGATTTACATTTTTTATAATATAGACAAGTTTGTTAGTTACCCTTCAGGGCAAGACAAAAATCTACAGTTTTATAAATTAAAATCATTTAATTAAACCTTTAACGCAATTTTCTAAGGTCTCGGGATCGTCAATATTTAATATTTGAAACATTTTCTTGGCTTTTACTTTATTAAAATAAACACGCTCTTTTCCTATGCTGTATCTAACGTCTAAATTGGTTAGTAATGCTATACTTTCAAATAATTGTGACAATGTTTTTTCCCCCGACGCAAATATAGATCGTAAATTTTCAAGTAAGATGCTATAAAAATCATATAACGTTATTTCATTCAGACATAAATATAAATCAGAAAACTTTCGTATATCATTAAAAAATTCAATATTAAAAATATCATCCTTTTCATAAATACTA